GAGCCTCCTTGCTGCCAGTGTTGTTAGCTGTCGTATTAAGACTACTCGAGTTACTCTGAATACTAGTAGTAGTAGCAGAAAACTCCATACTTGGTGACGTCACCGTTAAACTCTGACGACGACAACAACACATTCGCCATACCACTCCCTCGACAACTCACATCCTCAGCTGTTGACGGCGCTTCCGGTTGCTGTTCATCCTTGACATACGACTGCCTCTCACCACCAGTAGTCAAGATCCTCATAAGAATTCCACACGCCTGATCAGCTCGGCTTTTAGCTCCCCACACGCGTTCTATATTTTTCCATAACCGAGCTGGCATCAATGGAACCTGAAAAATATCTTAGGTTCCTCTCAGCAAGATTCAAAACAGGTCCACTTACCCTAGCCACCACATCCTCCTGGAACAGACCAAACATAAACGTCACCATCATTGTAAATGGCACCGAATACGATCCGCCTCCCCATGGGAGAACCTGATCACCACCGATGCACCCAGGTTCGATTCCCACGCCCTCCACTTCTTACAGCAAGATTAGTCGCCAACTGCGCGAGAATTCCGCACAATACACAACCGAAGGTCATCCAGATGAAGCCAACCAAACTTGGCGCCACAAATTGGCCGCCCATTCCCGTCGCGTAAATGATCGGATTGAAACCAATCTGATCAACAACAACATCATCATTTTAATTAGCCATATTTTATTACCACTCCAAGCCCAATTATCGAGTTGAAGGGCATCCCTAGGAGCACTCCAGTAACAACTCCTATAAGGGAACCCCATATGGTGAGGAAACACGACGAAGGAGAGCCAATGAATGCGCCCACCAACAGACAAAAACCAGACCACATGTTCAAACCTGGGGTAAAAAATATGCACAAAAAAGAGAAAAAAACGTTATACTGAACATCATTTGAGAAATTCCCGTCATCCAGCTGCGGAAAAACCACTCAGCCGTGACTTGTCCATATTGCGGTGCCGACACTGGGTTAGCTGTATAAATAGTTTCTGATAAAAAAACCATAAATTTCACCAAATTCACATATACCGTCACTTACGGAAGTTAGTAGTAAGAGTTGCGCATGCGATCCAGGTCCACATGGAAATGTTGTACCTGCGTGCAAGGAAATGACAACCATAATAATAATATACTTCCTACGGCCAGGAGCATGCTGGAATACCAGTTTTGGCGGTCCATTTGGTATTCAACCACTGAGTAACAACAGCGCAGAAAACCGCCATAAAACTAAGTGGCAGAAAAAGTCGACAGCAACTTCGCATCACATCGTCAACTGAAAAGGAAAAATCTACTCCGAATTCATATACCCCCCCATGCGTACATGCTCTCGCTTGAGACGCCCTGGCATCGAAACAGCCCATAGCCATGCCTAGAAGGGTACCATTCAAACCGTATATTCCGGAGCCCACCAGAGGCTTCAACTCAGGTGGTCCGAATAGTAGAGGAAAACCGGTTGTATAACAACCTGAAAAACAAAAATTCTGAGAAAAATTTCGGGAAACTATTGAGAATTTCTGCAAAAATTTTCATGTAAACTTTTATATAGTGAGAAAACTCCTAAGCTCAGCTGAGGAAAGCGAATATATTCCTCCAACACTAATCGGACCTAATCTGTATCCACCTTAGGAGAACCTAAGATACCGCCCTCCCTGTTAACTTACATCCAATAAATGCACATATACCAACGCACCAGTTACCAACACAGGCACCCGCCAAGATACCAAGGCCCGTCCCTAAAAGATTCAAAGTAGGCCCAAAAACGGCATGCCACTATTACATATGTTGTCGTTCCAAGTCAGCTGAGCCATGCCTCGGATGACCGCACTTATGAACCAAACAAACTAAAAGAAAAAATATTCTCTTCCAAGAGTAACTCCACCGCATTATTACCTCTTTCCAGAATCCCTTGAGACCTCTGCTTTCCTCCTTATTGGGAATAGCCGGTTTTATGGTTTGCGCTTCACAAAAGAATACTGACAGCCACTTAGAGGAATCAACATAGTCGACCTAAAAACAACAAAACAGAGTCGACCGAAGAACTAGTCAAGTTTCCAAGTACCCATTTTTCAGCCCAATTACGCTTGATGGTGATATCAATCGCCGTAGTAGAAGTAGACGTATCATCGTAG